TATTTATTGGGGCTGGGGATTTACCTCAGCGGCAAAGCGCCTGTCTGGCAAGCGCAAGATCGTGAGTTCGGTTCCCGGTACCGGAGGAAAAAAAAAAAAAAAAAAAAAACTAAATTAAAATGGGGTGGGAGGGCCGGACGTGGTGGCACACGCCTGTAATCCCAGCACTTGGGAGGCTGAGGCAGGAGGATTGCTGTGAGTTTGAGACCAGCCGGGGCTACAAAGTGAGCTCAAGGACAGCCTGAACTGCATAGGGAGACGCTGTCTCAAAAAGACTAAATAAATAAATAAATAAAAACGGGGTGGAAGTGGTGGCACACGCCTGTAATCCCAGCACTCGGGAGGCTAAGGCAGGAGGATCACTGTGAGTTTGAGACCACCCTGGACTACTTAGTGGGTCTAAAACCAGCCTGAACTTCATAGCGAGACCCTGTCGCAAAATAATTAATTAATTAAAAAAACAAAACGGAGAGCCAGGCGTGGTGGCGCACGCCTGTAATCTCAGCACTCGGGAGGCTGAGGCAGGAGGATCCTCGTGAGTTTGAGGCCAGCCCGGACTACAGAGTGAGCTCAAGATCAGCCCTAACTGCATAACGAGATCCTGGCTCAAAAAGACAGTAGATAGATGATTGATAGATACATAGATAGATAGATAGATGATAGCTAAAACAGAAGGAACATCTTGAGTTCACAGGAAAAGCTTTCAGTAAAAGTTTAGGAAGAAGAGGTAGGGAAAGGACTTTAGGTTGAAGAGCCAAAGGGGCCCCGGAGCAGATCAGACTGAACTAGAGCTGATCCAGGACGGGTAACTTTCCACTGGGTCGAGTACAGCCCTTCTCTGAGACTTCTTTCCTGTTCTAGTGCACCCCCTTTTGGTGTAACGGTGCACCTGGTCCCTACAATAAGAATAGAAAGATGAGGGAGGATGAATTCCAGACATTGTTAGCAAGGCAGTCAGAGAAAAGGACCGACTTTCACCTCTAGTGGGTGACAGGGCAGGGTTGAGTATCTAAAGAACCCCCTGTCTCCCTTGTACCCCAGGATAATAGCCATAGAGATTCCAAGATTCAAAAAAATAGAACAAGAGATGATCAGAGAGCAGATGTCATAACAGATCCAAGACACGGTGGGGAGTGAAAAGTAACTTTCGTGATATGTCTCCTCCTTCCTCCACCCCCAACCAAAGATCACTATCCTGACTGACAGTAAAGGTTAGTTTTGCTTTGGACAAATACATTTAAAAACGTCAATTTCGAGCTTCTCAAATTCCATCGGTGCTCTTTAGAAACTGATCTGCCTGAGAAAAAGCTCACAACACAAAAAAAAGGTTTACCTTCTTTCAAACCAAACAAAACCCAAAATCGTATTAAGACGCTATCCAGGTGAAAATCTTTGCCAAATAAGACTGATTTAGAAGTCTAAAATAGATCCCCATATTCTACACATGTAAAACTATAACATACTAACAGCATTTCTTAGTAAGTTTGTAAACCTATAACATAATACCTTTTCTTTTTTTGAACAGCTTAATTAGCCCTGCTGATAAAGCAAGGCCTCAAAAAATTAGGATAAGACTCAGATTGTTCCTCTCCACGGAAATCTTTAGTAAAAGGCGAAAGATTTATGCGATCTGAAGAGAAACCAGAGTATAATGTAAGGTTTGTACATGCATTTCTTGGATAACTATAACTCCTATATCAGCAATGGTCACTATTTACCCAAGCCAACTGATGACTTCTGTTTTTACCTCTGATAATTCTGTTACAAAAGTCTGACTTTTAAGGTAAAAAAAGTAAAAAGAAAAGAGAAGTATGCCCCTTTCAATTTAGAAAGTGTCTTTCGTGCAATGCATTGTGGGTATGTAAATAACCTTTTTTTAAAAAAAAAAAAACGGTGCTGGGGTTATGGGGCTTCTCATGCGCGAGGAAAGCATTCTACACTGAGCTATACTCCCAGCCTTCAAATCTATAATGAACCATTTTCCCACTTGTCTTAATCTTATACAATGTTTAATATTTTCTATTTTTTTGTTAACAAAATTAAAGTTATCCTGGGCAGTCATGATAGAACACGCCTGTAATCTCAGTACTCAGGCTGAGACAGGAGGGTTACAAATTAGAGCACAGTCTATGCAATTTAGTAAGACTGTCTCAAAATAAAAATTTAAAAATAAACATTTGGGAATGTAATTCAGTTAGGAAGCCTTAAACCGGGTGTGGTGGAGCATGCCTGTAATCCCAGCACTTGGGAGGCTGAGGCAGGAGATTTGTTGTGAGTTTGAGACCAGCCTGGGCTACAAAGTGAGCTCAAGGCGAGCCTCAACTGCATAGCGAGAAAAGACCAAAAAAAAAAAAAAAAAAAAAAAAAAAAAAAAAAAAAAAAAGGGGGAAGCCGGGGATACAATCTTGCCGCACTGAAAACAAACATCCCTAGACAAATAGTAAATGTCAAAACCTAAAATGTGTAAACTAAAATCAGATCCGTTGTCCAAAAATTTGAAGCTTTTAATTACATTCATCCTGGCACTCTTTTTTTACTTGTTTTTTTTTTTTTTTTTGGTTTGTTTGTTTTTGATTTTTGGAGACAGGGTCTCACTCTGCAATTCAGGCTGTCCTTGAGCTCACTTTGTAGCCCAGGCTGGTCTTGAACTCGCAATGATCCTCCTGCCTCAGCCTCCCAAGTGCTGGGATCACAGGTGTGCGCCAGCACACCTGGCTCATCCTGGCACTCTGAGCAGCTCTCCGATGGTAGCAAATTATTTCGTAGTTATCTTTGTACTTTGAGCTATCCAATTTTGTCTGCCAGTCTTGTAAAACTTCTTGTGCTTTCGGCATTATGATACTACTATCGTTAGTGTCTGTGCCCCAAGATTACATTAAAACAAAAAGAGGTGATTGGTTTGTTCATAGATCATGTGAAGTTTAGGTGAAAAGAATGAGTCACAAAAAAAAAACAAAAAAAAGGGGCTGGGGATTTAGCTCAGCGGCGCAGTGCCTGCCTGGCAAGTGCAAGGTTGTGAGTTCGATTCCTGGTACCAGAAAAAAACAAACAAACAAACAAAAAAAAAGAAAACGCCCAGTGTGGTGGCGCACGCCTGTAATCCCAGCACTTGGGAGGCTGAGGTAGGAGGATCATTGCGAGTTCAAGACCAGCCTGGGCTACAAAGTGAGCTCAAGGACAGCCTGAATTGCAGAGTGAGAACCTGTCTCAAAAAAAAAGACAAAACAACCCCCCACCCCCAAAAAAGAATGAGTCAAATCTGGGACATCTCTGGGCCAGTCATGGTAGCTGGCTCCTGGAATCACAGCACTCCAAGAGACTGAGGCAGGAAGGTTGCAAATTCAAGGCTAGCCTGGGCTACACAGTGAGACCCTGTCTCAAAAAGCTGAAGAAGAGAAAGGCGGAGGGCCTTAGGTCTCCTGCCTCCTGTGTATTTTGTGTTTTATGGAGGTGGGGCGGCTCAGCTTACAGAAGATGAAAGGGCTCCTAGACGGCTGGATTAGCTGAGTCAGCAATTGAGGAAGAAGGACCATACACACCTTCCTTTGTTAAGGAAGAACGTTAAAACAGCTTTGCGATGCGTTCATAAGTGAAAAAATAGGCCGGGCATGGTGGCACATAGTTGTAATCCCAGCACTCAGAAGGCTGAGGTAGAAGGATTGCTGCGAGTTCGAGGTTAGCCTGGGCTACATAATGAGTTCAAGGCCAGCCTGCACTACAGAGGGAGACCGCTTCCAAAAAAAAAAAAAAGTGAAAAGATAATGTGAACTGGGCCTGGTGGCACATGCCTGTAATCCTAGCACTCAAGAGGCTGAGGCAGGAAGATTGCTTTGAGTTTGAGGCCAACCTGAACTGGATGGCAAGACCCTGTGGGGGCAGGGGTGGTGGATGAGGACACTGGAGAGCATTTCACACGAGCCTGGCTTTCTGCAGGACGGCACTCAGCTCAGCATTCGTTGTATTTTTTTAGTCACACCTTGTAGAGACCAAAGTGTCTCCAGAACCACTTCCGAAAGTGGCAAGAATGATGGGTTAAATATGTTTGAAGCAGAGGAGAATGTTCTGCAGGGGATTCGTGGCAATGTGCCTTTTAGTGTAACCATTTTTAAAAATTTAAACATTCACTGTGCATTTCTTTCCCATCTCACTGAAGTAAAGATGTCAGAAAATGAGCAGTGTGGGACGTCCCGGCGGGAGCAGAAGCCTGCATCTGTGTGGACAGCAAGGCTGCCGGGGGCAGTCGGGGCTGAGGACAGCAGGGCTGTCCAGCGGGTGCCGTCACCTAGAGTGACAGCGGAAGGAGTGCTGAAAGCTATCAGGGCGGGTGTCAATCCGGAAGGAATGGGGAGGGGCGGCCGGGAGTCCACAGGTGGCAGCTGACCGTGCTGTGCGCGGGACGCTCCCTCAGCGCGAGCTGCACAGCCTGGTTCTGAGGGAGCTGAGAGGGGTCAAAGCTGGCAGCCAGCGAGAACTGAAGGGGCAGATGTGGGCTCCCACATGGGAGGTCACGGGAAGTCAGTGGACAAGGGGAGGTCAGCGTGTGGGGAAAGCAGCATTTAGGGAAGCAGTTGCAGGACTTTTTTTTTTTTTTTTTTT